TTATCACAAATCCAATGGCAAAGTATCTAGAGAATAGTAACCCTGAGAAAATAGAATAAGTGCAAGGTCCTGAGTTTGGTTCCCAGTACCAAAAAAAAAAAAAAAAAAAAAAAAAAAAAAGAAAAGAAAACAGAGAAGACCACACACAGACCTTCTCATGAATGCAGATACTGAAAGGGCACATCCTTCACCTCTGTTTGGGATCCGACCCAGTCTTGCACATGCCAGGCAAATGCTCTACACTGAGCTACATCCCCAGTCTTTTATTTTTCGAGCTAAGGTTTTCAAACTGGCCTGGAAATTGAGATCCCCTTGCCTCAGCCTCCTCAGAACTAGGATTACAGGTGTATCCCACCATGCTGGCTTCATTGTTTTAACACTGCAGGCTGAGACCTATTGTGTCTTGTGAAAGAAAGTCAGTGTGGAAGAGATAGCTCAGTGGACTAGCACGCCTGTAATCCCAGTGCTGGGGAGGCTGAAAACAGAGGATCAACAGGACTTTGAGCTGCATAGTGAGACCTTATACCAAATACATTAAAAAAAAAAAAAAAAAGTCAGTGGGTTGTAAACATTTTTTTATGGGTTGTGGTTTTTTTTTTTTTTTTTGCTGATCCAGGGATTGAACTCAGGCCTTGCACTTATTCTACTGAGCCATGGGGGCCTGCCCCTGTAAACATTTTTTAAAATGAAGTATAATAAATGGAAAATGAGAAATCATTGGACAGGGGAGGGGAGGGGAAAGTAAAACAAAGCACAGCACTCACATTTAGATCACTACACAAATACAAGGCGAGGGAAGAGGCTCTATATACCAATGGCCCAAGGATATATTCATACCACTGAACTCAATGCTTTCTGCAAATACTGTATTTGTGCACAGATATGCTCTTTCTGGAGATTTTCCAGCAGATTCTTGGCAAGGTGAAATCCTTCACAAGGTTAATAATCACTGCTTTAAGAGGAAAATCTTAAACTGAAATCCCAGGGGTCCAAAAAGTCCTTAAAGTATACAAACAAATGCAAAACCAAGTACCTTTCTTTCAAGTGTGCCACAGTCTTTGCAATGTGCTCGGCTCCCCCATCAGGTACATCTAGAAAGAAAACCCAATGCTCAAGGTGATGTCACCACACAGGAAAAGCCAAGGCAGGCAGAAGGCCACACTAACCATCTCGATCTACAGATGTCAAGACAACGTAGTCCAGGCCCCACTCCGCAATGGCCTTTGCAGTGTTGTAGGGCTCACTGGTGTCCAGGGGGGGTGGGTTTCTTGCAGTTTTCACAGAACAAAATCGGCAACCTCTTGTGCAGGTGTCACCCATCAACTACAACAGAGATTCGAATCAGTCAGCCAGCCAGCAAGTTAGCCTCCAGAACATAATGCTGAAAGTAAGCTGCACAGAATAGGATCAGATTGGGTCCCTTTATAAAAACGTGAGTAGCACAGAGTATATCATTAAAAAGTATAAACATGTAAAACTAAAAAGGAAACGAAATGACAAATTTAGAATTAACAGTGTTAGGGAAAAGGAGAGTGGCTAAGCCCCAGGAAGGGACACACAATCCAAATTTAAAAATTCCATTTAAAAATGGAATCCTAATACACATTTAGGGGACAGACAGGGGACTTTGAAGATAATGCTAATGTTTTGCTCTCAAGTTGAAGGGGAGCATCAGGGTATCTTTTGTATTGTTACTCTTCATAATGTATAAAGACTTCCTTGTATCTATTCAGGGAGTAGCCAGGTTTTCATTAGCCCGTGTCTGTAGTGCACGCTGATTACATCCTTCGTGGGATCAGGGCACATAGAGAACACATCTTCATTGTTTTAACCTCCTCTTTCCCTCCCCTTCCCAATCAAAGGTCAAGGTGCAGATTCACGTCAGAGTTAAATGGGAGGCACAGCCCCTTCTTATTAAACAGGTAAGACAGAAACACCTCAGAAGTTATCAGGAAGAATATTTCCAGAAGCAAATAGAAGAGGTGGCTCAAGACAGCAAAGAGTTAACTATCAGACACATGGGAGGAGCAATAAGAGATGGATTCAAGAAGGTGATACACAACAGGTTAGATTATTTGGTCAGCTATTATTTCCTTATACATCTCAGAAGCTCACTGGTAACAAGACCTGAGAGCAGTGATTCACGCTGCACATTTTGAGGAGGTGGGGGAGCTATTCCATCTCTACACTAAAGCTGGGGCAGAGCTGGCTTTACCATGATCGTGGCTGTGGCAGTGGCATATTCGCCACCTCCCCAACACTCTCCAATATTGGGACATCGAGCTTCTTCACACACCTGTCAGTAAAAGGGATCAGAATAAAGTCAGGTTGGAAATACTGACCAAATGAACAATTTTTATTTATTTTTATGTCTTTGGTAGAGGGTCTCACTATGCAGCTTGGACACACAGTGATGCTCCTGTTTTCAGCCTCCCCAGCACTAGGAATACAGACATGCACCACCACGCCTGGTCTCAGTGGCCAGTTCAGTGCACCCGAGGGCAAGGCCAGTGCAGCATGTGGTGCCAGGGATGGGCCCTGAGCTTGCCGAGGCAGGCACTTAGTCCGCTGAGCTATCTCACCAGTCCCAACTGAATAATTATTACACACTTTGAGCTACGCATTGTTTACAACTTGTTTTTTTTTTTCTTGTACTGGAGATTGAACTCTGGGTCTTGAACAACCTAGACAAGCTCTTCACTGCTGAGCTGCAAACCCAGTCCCTTTAAAAATTCTACTTTTAGACAGAGTCTTCCTAAGTTGTCCAGGTTGGCCTTGAACTCAGAATCCGCTTGCCTCAGCCTCCAGAACAGCTAGGATTACAGGCATGCGCCACCATGCCAAGCACAACATATTTTACAGTCTTCCCAACAGACAGACACTTAATTCTAATATAAAATTAACAGGCCAGGCTTGATGGTCCATGCCTGCAGCCTCAGCTACTGCAAAGGCTGAAGTAATTACTTGAGCCCAGAAGCTTGAGATCAGCCTGTACTACATAGCAAGACCTCAACTTGAAACAAACAAAAACTCTAACAGTAGGCCTGGAGGTGCACACACTCTCAGAATCCTCAGGAAGAAGGATCATGAGTTTGAGAACAGTCAGGCACAGTGAGTTCAAGGGCAGTGTGAACTACACAGGAAGATCATGTTAAAAATCCACAAAGACCTCGAACTAACAAAAAACACTTGCTTCCCAAGTTTCAGGGAATATCTGATGATGTTAAGAAATATAATCAGCTTTGTTTACATTGTAGAAGTCACTTTGGTGTATGTGTGCGCGTGTGAGCACCTAACCACTGAGCCACATCCCCAGCCCTTTCTGTTGTTCTGAGACAGTTTTGCAAAGTTGTGCAGGGTGGCCTCAAACCTACAATCTTCTTGCCTCAGTCTCCTGATAGCTGGAATTTTTCAAACCACTACATTTGGCTTAGAAAAATTATTTTCTTACTATGCAGCTCAGACTTTGTAATGATCCTCGTTTTCAGGTTTCCTAGTGCTGGGATTATCGGTATGATCCCCCACACCTGCATGCTCGGTCTCAGTGGCCAGCTCAGCATGCCCGGGGGCGCAGCCGGTGCGCATGTGGAACTGGGGTCCCTGGTGCTTGCCTAAGTGGGCAGTTAATCTGCTGAGCTATCTCACTGGCCTTGGTAAAATGATTTTAAGTGCACTTTTTGGAGGAAGAGCTGGGGATTGAACCCAGGCCCTCACTGAGCTGCATCCTTAGGCCGTGAATGTGTTTTTAATTACTGGGAATAATGTATCATCTAAATCATTATTTACTTTCCTTGCTGTTACTTATATACTTATTAATTTTGTTACAAATACATAGAAACAAAGAAACAAAAAACCAAGTATGTGGAAACATAGTTTCAGATTAACACTACATAGTTAACACTGAGCACTTACCGTATGGAGATTTAAACTCCGCAATGTATTTTTCAGTTTATTGTAATTTTTCCCCACTGGAATCTCGGTCTTTAGCCATGGAGGTAGCCTTAACCTAAGGAAAGCCAAACACAACTGTCTTTAAAAATAAGCTGAGGGCTGGTGAGACAGCTCAGTGGTCTAAAGCACCTACTTAGAACAAGCTCAGCAAAGCACAGGGACCACGGTTCCATACCCCAGCACCACATGCCAGCCAGCCCCGCCCCCTGGTGGGCTGAGCTGGTCACACACACACACACACATAAATAAATAAAAATTAAAAAAATTTTTAAAAAAATAAATAAAAATAAGCTGACAAGAGTCCAGGTGTGGTGGCGTGTGCCTGTAATCCCAGCACTAGGGAAGCAGAAATCAGGAGGCTCACTACCACGAGTCGGGGCTGTGTAGTGAGACCCTGAACAAAAAAAAAGGCTGACAAATAATCACAGCTTTGAAATGATTATAATAATCATTGAATCAGGAGTTAATCCGTAATCCTAGATTAACTCCTGATTTCTGCCACAGGAGAGTGGAGACTCGTGTTCGTGCCTGCTCAAGTGCTTGAGAGAGCACTGGAGATGGAGGCGAGCAAGGCGCTCCACTCACATCTACCTTTTACAAAGGTACAAACTGCACCATTCTAACAAAGTAGTCTTTGAACATCTCATTCCCTATGAAAAACACTCCCAAAAGAATTATATTAATGCAGATTAACTTTTTTGTGTATCGTTGTTGAAGCTGGATCTTATTATGTAGCCCAGGCTGGCTACATAATGAACTCATGAGCGGCCTGGCTTGGCCTACTGGGATTACAGGTATCTACCATCACACTCATTTTATTTTTTTTAATTTAATTTAATTTAATTTAATTTAATTTATTTATGTGTGTGTGTATTTATGTGTGTGTGTGTGTGTGTGTGTGGCCAGCTCAGCCCACCAGGGGGCGGGGCTGGCTGGCATGTGGTGCTGGGGGATTGAACTGCGGTCCCTGTGCTTTGCTGAGCTTGTTTTAAGTAGGTGCTTTAAGACCACTGAGCCATCTCACCAGCCCCACTCATTTTAATTCAGATTAAAAAGAGATACCAACAGGGTGCTGTTTTCTCTATAATGTAGATTTCACAGGAATGTTTGTTTGTTTGTTTTTGAGACATGGTCTCAATATGTAGTCCAGGATGAGCTTGAGTTTACAATGAGCCTCTTGCCTTGGTCTCTTGAGTGCTGAGATTACAAGTGTGCACCACCATGGCCAGCTAATGGCTATTATTAAATGGAAAAAAATCTACAACTTGAAGCAGAGATTATACAGCCTCGACTCCATTCACCTGTGATCTGGAAGTTGTGGAACACTACTCAAAACTATTTTCCCTCTACACAAAATCCCCACCATTTTTTAAAATTTAGGCTATGTATCCATGGGTCATATGTAAATTTGGAGAAGCGACAAGTGAGATCATAGTATCCACTTATAACTTAAAAATTATCAAAATCTAATAGACTAACAATGAGATGATAACCTTCAGTCTCTGAAGAATCAGTGGCTGGGTAGATAATGGGAAGACAGTTGTTCATGGTTCAATTTTAGGAAAGATAAAAACTGCCAAAGGCTACAGGAAAAAACCAATTCCAATAACTTCAAGTCACCTGTCCTATTGGGTCATTATCACTTCTTTGTAATGACTTTTAGCTAAGTTTAACAAGTTTGAAATTAGGTAGGCATAGTGGCACACTCCTATAATCCCAGCACTTGGTTGACAGAAGCAAGATCATTGTGAGTTCAAGGCCAGCCAGGGGTATATAAGCGAGCTCAAGGCCAGTTTGGACAACATAATGACTCTGTCTCAAAAGAAATTTTCAGGGCCAGGGATATAGCTCAGCAGCATAGTGCCTACCTTGGCAAGCTTGAGCTCCTGAGTTCAATTCCTGGTTAAAAAAAACAAGAAGAAAAAATTCAATTACCTTTCTCCTTTCTGGCGTTTTAAGTTGCCTTTATATTCATCCCAGTTGCTCTTGTCTGCAAGATCACCTGATACAAAATCTTGAAAGTCTGGCCCATTCTGTAAAAATTCTTTTTTTTTATCTGACAAGGAAGTTAATGTTCTGAGTGGGCTGTGTAAACATCTTCCAAACATCTAAAAAGAGAATGCATTATGATAGTCATTTAGTGGGGCCAGGAACAATTTAGTTTTAACCCTTATAATACCTAAAAGGGCAAGTAAAAAAATTGACAGAAATCACGTTAAAGCCCCGCATTGTAATGAACACATGTAATCCCAGCACTTGGAAGGCTGAGGCAGGGGGACTGCTATGAATTGGAGGCCAGCCTGGACTACATTGTGAGATCAAGGCTAGGCTGGACTGCTTACAGAGACTCTGTCTCAAAAAGATAACCAAGGGCTGGGGAGATGGCTCAGTGGAATAAACGCTTCTCTGGCAAGCGCATGGGCCTGAGTTCAATCCCCGGTTCCGCCAAAAACAATAAAACAAACAAATAAACAAAAAAGATAACCAAAGCTAAAGAACAGGAGTTAATTATTTTGGATTTTGGAACCAATCTAATTTAAGTCACTTCATAACAGGTGTTACAAGTTTTTGAATAAACTTAACCACTTAACCTGCAATAACTGGAGAAAATGCCACAGATATGTCTTCTATTTTTTACTTGAGACAGAGATGTTTACTGTCCTTTTGAAACAGGGTTCAGGCTGGCCTCGAACTCACAGCGATCCTCCTGCCTCATCCTCCTGAAAGCTGGGGTCACAGGCGTGCACCACCACACCCGGCCTGAGACAGATGCTTAAAAAGAAACTGGCAGTAAATATTTCTAGTGTGGCTAAGTGTAAGCGTTAAAACTGAGAGGTAATGCTAGATTTGTTTCAAGAATTGAAGACAGACAGACAGACAGACAGACAGACAGACAGATTGACTGAGAGACCAACCTGGAAGGAGGAAAACCAAACTCAACCTGATTTTTATTTTTCTAGGTTACGCTGTTTCTGGATTGAACCTGACAGGCCCTCAATACAGCGCTGTACCTTGGCGAGCATAGCTACCAACGTCTATGGCGTTAGCTTAGAGGTCAGGCTCACGTTCTCAGGGGTCAAGGTGCTGTCTAATACACAGTAAGGACTCGATACAGTCGTTCCTTGGAGGGCTCACTCCTGTGTGCTAAAATAAATATTCGACACCAACCACTCGAAGCAGAGGAAAACCAAACCCTTAAAAACAAAAGCCCCTCAGCATCAGCCCAGAAAGCCCTTCAAACAAAGCAGTATCAGAGACTACTTCACGGGATGTTAAATCACAGAAGAAAAACTTAGAACGCTGCCTGGTTACAACGCTCAAGAAGCACTGGCCTTCCTTGAAAAGAACGAACCACCCCTCCTCATACTTGCACCCTTCTCGCCCGGCCGCTCACCCGGGGCCCCAGGGTGCGGGCTGCGTTCCCATAGCGTAGAGACATCCCCTGGCTAGGCCTAGCAGGGTCGAGGAATGATGAGATCACTGATTCCCCCCGCAAAAACAAAAGATAGCACGGAAAAAAAAACAAAAAAAAAAAACCCCGTCGCTCAGTTTATGACAAAGAGCCAAATGGAGCTACTCTGCGATCTTCTGCTTTAGCCTTGTGGGAGTCGCGTACTCATGACGTAATACGCAGGCTCCTTACAGGCTACAAGAACGTGATGACGAAAGACGTTCTCTCTTTGCCGCATCTCCAGCAAGGTGAGGAGGTTTCTGTGCATTTGTGGGGTCTGGGAATCTCCAGCCATCCGCTCTGGGAAAGCCAGCGGCATGGCCCTGACGCTTGGAGTCCTTGTCATATTTGTCTCCCAGTGCGTTGAGCGCCGTATGGATCTGGCGACGCGGATATTTGAGTCCAGTTCAGGCGTTTTAGGCCTACCCTGCCCCCCAGTGTTCCCGGGACAGCGCGCCTGTTGGAACTTCAAGGGTTGGACCCGAGTTAGTCCACTGGGCTTCATGACACCCGTTGTCGGGCTACCCATTCCAGGCCCAGAAGCGCAGCAGGCGCTCCTGGCCTTGGTCCTGTTAACATTGTTCGGATCGCCGGCTTGGCAGTCTGCGGTGGGGTGCGATCTCGTCTGGCGGAATAGGCCCTCTGTTCCGACCTTACTTATCCCAAGTGTGTTTGTTTCAGAATGAAGACCATTCTTAGCAATCAGACAGTCGACATTCCAGAAAATGGTAAGAGGCGTGCTGTTTTTTCTCTGAACTCTTCGTATTCTAAGTTTTGTTGAGTGATCTCACGAATTTCGTTCCCTGTTCTAGTCGACATCACTCTGAAAGGACGCACAGTTATTGTGAAGGGCCCCAGAGGAACCCTCCGGAGGGACTTCAACCACATCAATGTGGAACTCAGTCTCCTTGGGAAGAAAAAGAAGAGGGTGAGTTTGGGGGGCCTTTTGAATTTGGAAGATACTTATAAGAGTGCCAAATTTGGTTATCTTGAGAATGTATCAACCAAAGCTGGATGTTTTGCCTTTAAAACTTTGCATCCAAAAGTGTAGCTAGTTGTGTTTTAGTAAAATTAGAAGAGCAAATTTTCAGTCTAGGTTATACTACTGGTAGGAAATAGTTACAAATTAGAAACAGGTGGTATTTTTGCTTTCTTTAAGAAAAAACTTTTCTAAATCTTTTGTTCTATTATAGCTCCGAGTTGACAAATGGTGGGGAAACAGAAAGGAGTTGGCAACTGTCCGCACGATCTGTAGCCATGTACAGAACATGATCAAGGGGGTTACACTGGTAAGCGACCTATCAGCCTGGCTTTTAATCCTTTGGGAGGAGATTCCCAGTTAAATTTTTGTACAGGACATAAATGTCTGCTGTTGAAAAGTATAGTTTGGTGAGATCTGTGAACTCTGAACTTGACTAGGCATCCCTGTCTTCCACATTAAGTGATTGAATAGATCAGATGGATGCAGTTAACATAAAGTTCAGGGTTAATTTCAGGTTTATTTGTTGCGTTTGTTATTTAATAAAAACTGGTAGAACTGCAGAACACGGGGTGCACTTTGAGCAGTTGCTGTGCTATGTTTCTGTAAGGATCTTTACTGTCAGGAGACAGTGTTCCTGTCACGCAAATAATAAAAACGTTTACTGTGAGAGGTTTGGTACGGTGGACAGTGGTTGGAGACCTTGATAAGGAGGACTGTATGAAAGCTGTTATGTTTTAAGTTGCAAAATTACGTCTACTGAGTGTTGAAACTGGATTTCTTTAGAAATTTCTCAGCATTGCCCAAAATTTGTTTATCTCACAGGGCTTCCGTTACAAGATGAGGTCTGTGTATGCTCACTTCCCCATCAACGTTGTTATTCAGGAGAATGGGTCTCTCGTTGAAATTCGGAATTTCTTGGGTGAAAAATACATTCGCCGAGTTCGTATGAGGGCAGGTACGTGCATCCTTCTGATAGTGTCCAGAAATTTTTCCTTGAATCTTTTGAAAGCTGGTGGTTTGGGTTAGTTATAGCTAAAACCATATTTATTGTTTCTTGGTTACACTCATCTCTCAATGCTGGGTAAGGTTTTTGTTGTTGCTGTTTTTGCGGAACTGGGGATTGAACTCAGGCCCTTGCGCTTGTCAGGCAAGTGCTTATTCTACTGAGCTCTCCCCCTGGCCCCCTGGGTAAGGTTTATATCTTTTTTTCCTAAAGAGGGTTACATGTTGAATGAGCTTACAGAATATGGTAGTGTTTTTGGGAAGGGGGATATTAGGGGTTGAACAAAGGCTTTGCCATTGTGTTGGGCATGATGGTGCACACTTATATAGTCCCAGCACTGAGGAGTCTGAGGCAGGAGGATTGCCATGAATAATTGTGTATACTGGCAGGTCACAGTGGGATGCCTTGATTTATATATGCATTTGTGGAAAGATCAAATCAAGCTAATTAGTGTCCGTCTCACATAACTTTTTTGTTTTAATGAATTTTTTAATGATGAAAACATGTAAGTGGCTAAAGGCAGGATTACAAGTTCAAACACAGTCTGAGCAATGTAGCAACACCTAATCTCAAAATTTAAAAAAGGGTTAGGGATATAGTGAGTGCAGAGGCCCTGGCTTTAGTCCCTAATGTTGTAAAAAGTTAAATCTTCCAGAAGTTTTTGAATAGTGCTTAAGAGCCCAGAAGGGGGTTGGGGAGATAGCTCAGTAGAATAAGCGCTTGCCTGGCAAGCACAGGGTCCTGAGTTCAGTCCCCGGTGCCACAAAAAATAACAAACTCAGGATTGTGTTTAGGTTCATAATACTTAAGATAGTGCTTGCTAAATATATAGTGGGCAATAAAGCTTTAGGAAACAACTGGTCAGCAACGTTTCGTGACAACCTATAGGTAAAAAAAACCTTTTGAGTGGTATTAAATATGTACCACAGAAAGGACTTGATACGACTAAATTATACTCTGCATAATTGCATTGCTGAGTCTCTGACCACTCGAACTGATTGATTCTAGCTGGAACACAAAACTTGGCCAGGTAGGATAAGCCATGCCCTGTGTAGCCAGAAATTCAAGAGTTTGTTTCATGGGATGAAATCGGAGTTTAGGGGTTAGCTCAGTTATTTAAGCACCTGCTCTGGCAAACCCAGTCAGGCATAGGGGACTGACCATAGGTCAATCCCCAGCTCCACCAGTGCCTTACCAGACCTGCCCTTAACGGTAGCCTGAGCCAGCCCCCCAACCCCCACCAAAAAAAAAAAAAAATCAATCATGGAATGAAATGAGCACTAGAATTTAAGGTGGCTTGTTTCTTTGAGACAGGGTTTCGCTATGCAGTTCAAACTGGCCTTGAACTCACTTTGCACCCCAGGCTTGCCTTGAACCTGCAGCAATCCTCCTGCATGAACTTCAGGAGCTAGGATTACAGGTGTGCACCACTATGCCTGGCGGGTTTGGTTTTAAGATCTGATTTGACACTGTTAATACTATTATATATATATTTTTTTAATTCTATTTTTTAGGTGTTGCTTGCTCAGTATCTCAAGCCCAGAAAGATGAACTAATCCTTGAAGGAAATGACATTGAGCTTGTTTCAAATTCAGGTTTGTATGCTTACTGTGTCTAATTTTACTTACAAAATTTGTTCTAAATCTTGTGTTTGAATATTTGGTATTTTATTCATTTAATGTGATTAGCTTAGGGGCTGGAAAGATGGCTCAGTGGAATAGGCGCTTCCCTGGCAAGCGCAAGAGCCTGAATTCAATCCCCGGTTCCGGGGGGGAAATTTTTTTTGATTAGCTTTTTAAAAAGCTATCCTGAAGCTGGATGTGGTGTTGTGTTCCTATAATCCCCACACTCTAGGAGGCTGAGGCAGGAGAATGGCATTTTTGAGCCCTTCTGGGCAAAGGAATGACTGCATGAGACTGTCTCAGTATGGACTGGAAATGCAGTCAGTGTGAAGGCTTTGGGTTCTTTTGAGGAAAACCAGTTCAGTGATTCTGAGATCAGTTCTACTACATAACCAAATACAGGCAACTGTCACTTGAGGTCAGTGGTGTATTCTGAGAAATAGGTCTCCTAGGCAGTTTTGTTAGCTCGTGAACATCACAGTACGTTCAAGACCCTAGGTAGGACAGGCCAGTCACTTACCATAGTCAAGAGCAGGACAGATAGACCTAGTGTTTTAAGAATAGTACATTCTAATGATTAAACAGTATAGTATGATGTTGAAATCATTGAGTTGGTTTTTCTATTATAGCTGCTTTGATTCAGCAAGCCACAACAGTCAAAAACAAGGATATCAGAAAATTTTTGGATGGTATCTATGTTTCTGAAAAGGGAACAGTTCAGCAGCCAGATGAGTAAGATCCAAGAGGTAGGTGTTTCGGTGCTTCTGGGTTTTGTTACTGCTTTAGATGGGTCTTAAATTGTAGTTGAAATGGCATAGAGAATTGCTTTCTGAATTTTATTTATTTATGTATGTATGTATGTATGTATGTATGTATTTTTGTGAAACCGGGGATTGAACTCAGGCCCTTGTGCTTGCCAGGAAAGTGCTTATTCTACAGAGCCATCTCCCCGGCCCTGAGAATTGCTTTCTGGAACAGTAAATTTTGCAAAGTAGAAGATAGAATTGACATATATTACTGTGCTTATGGTTTACTGTGAACCAGTAAATTACAATCTTTATGTTGAACCCTTTAGAATGATACTGGGCTGGGTATGTGGATCAGTGACACAGTACCTGCCTGGCAAGTGTAAGCAAGGCCCCAAGATTACTTCTTGGCACCAAAAAAGAAAGAATGGAACTTTGCAGGGCAAGGGTGCTGATAGAGATTTACAGATGTTTGCATTTCTTTTTTGCAGTTAATCCAGCCGCAGAAACAAGCTTCTGGATTGTAAAGCTAATCTGATATTTTAATGAGACAATAAAAGATCTTTATTAAATAGATTTGGGACTTGTTCTTGATCCTTTCAAACTACCTGCAAGTACACTGCTTATGGAATGCTCTCATGTGCTTTTTTAAAAAAAATATTTATTTGTGTGGGTGTGGGTGTGGCCAGTTTAGCCCACCAGGGGGCGGGGCTGGCTGGCATGTGGTGCTGGGGGATTGAACCCAGGTCCCTGTGTTTTGCCAAGCTTGTTCCAAGTAGGTGCTTTAGACCACTGAGCCATCTCACGACCCCCTCATGTGCTTTTGAAGGAACAGATGTGTCCTAGCTTTTCTTCATGGGAACAACTATCCTGCACCTGGTTTCTTAAATGATAGCAAGAATACTTCAGGTAAGAGGAATGTGGTACCAGTAACAACACCAGTGGTGTGAGCGTAAAACTGGAGATCCTGAAGATGGAATGAACAGGTGAAGCAGGCATGTCCTGGTCACTTGAGGAAAAAGAGCTGAGAAGTGGAACAGTGTCACCACCTCAGTGTGGGCTGAAAAATACAGTTAGCTTTAGTTTAGGATAAGCATGTGGCTGTTGGAGTTCAAGATCTCTTGTCCTGTGCCTCAGCCATACACTTCCATATCCTTTAGCTTGGCAAGAGTGATTTCCAGACCTCAGGTACTACACTGATACCTTTCAGTCAGGAAAGGCAAGTGGGCAGTCATTACTTTGTTCTGACATTAAGGAGATAACAGTAGAAAAGGATCTTAGAACTTGATTCAAGTGTGTCAACTAGCTATATCAAAACTGATGAGGGGCCGGGGAGATGGCTCAGTGGAATAAGTGCTTGCCTGGCAAACACAAGGGCCTGAGTTCAGTACCCAGTTCCGGAAAAAAAAAACTGATGGGTTTTTAAATTCTGCTTTGAAATAAGGTTTGGAAGGCTTCAAATACAATTCTGGGTGAAAAAGAGTTTTTGTGGCAGTGTTGTGAAATAAACCCAGGCCTAGCAAATTCTGGGCAGCAACTCATCACTGAATGCCCCTGTAGAGCTGAACTGACCTTTGTGGCCCTCAGTACCTGGCCTCTGAGCTGTCTTCCTCTGAAAGTATTTTTGAATTGTGGCTGATGTGTTTCTTTCAGGTGTATAGGCAGTGGAGATTAATTGATCACCCTATGAAAAAGAATGGCATTCACTCCTTGTTCCCTCCCATCTTGGTACACTTAGCTTTTTTGTTTTAGGCTGGCTTTGAACTTACTGTACTGTGTACCCTGGGCTGGTCTTAAACTAGTGGCAGTCCTTCCTGCCTCTGCCTTCCATGGGCCACTACACCTGGCACTTGTCTGTAGTATTGAAAATGTTTGTGGTCTTCTGTTGCACATCAGTAATGTGCTGCTGGAATGTACTTGGGGACTGTGCACTGAGACATGGCAGGTATCTAGGCATGTACTTCTGAGTGGATGGCACTAAGATTATAGAGATTCAGTAAGTGATGTAAAGTGTTGAGATTTCAAAATCATTGAAAGTAACAAATTTTGTGTAGGACAAGATGTTAACAGACTTAGTGTGAACAGCAGTCTGTTGTAGGAGAAAGCTTGCCCCAAGGGATGGTTGGTCAGCTGTGAGCTGCTCTGGTAACTTCTAGGGGCTGCCTTTAACTAATGGGTAGTTGCCACATAACTTGGGTATTGTAGTCTGAGTGGTGACACATTCTTACAATCCCAGAATTCAGCTGAGGCAGAATCACTGCAAGTTGTTGAGGCCAGCCTGAGCTACATAGTTAAGTTCAAGGCCACCCTGAACCACACAGTGAGATCCTGTCATAGGAAAAAAAAAACCTTTAGTGTTATAGATCTAGTTCTTCAGGGAAGATTTCTTTTCCGTGGCTGCTGTGAAGAAACACTTCTGATATTTTCCTAACTTTTCAGTTAGGAAGTGTCCACATGTGAATGAGAACAACCTGGAAGCCACTTGTCCACTTGGCACACTGGGAAGATGGAGATGCCCCACAGGGTTAGAGCTGTAGAGTGCCAGGCCTATGCATGTTCCAGTTGGCAGTCAACCAGATTCTGAGTTGAGTATAAGTAACCAAAAACCAGTTTGAACATACCAGCCTTATTTTTTAAAAGTTGAACACCAGCTGTGACATTCACCCATGTCAGAGATTTTAGTGAAAGATGTGGTTGTATTGAAAACAAAACGTTAACACAAGTTAGATTTTAAGGTTTTGTTTTTTGTTTTTTTCTACAAACTTGAAAAAGATTTTTCATTAGTGTTTACTTCTGGTAGGAGCTGTCAACTTCCAAATGGCCCTCAACAATTTTACATTGAGTTTTTATAAGCCTGAATATTTCTGCTAATACAGTCAACCATGAGCTAGATTAAATAATTGACCTAAGATTTTCACATGACTGGTTCAGAAAATAATAGAGAAATCCCCAAGTGACAGCAAGGGAGTACTTTGAGGTTTTGGCCAGGCACTTTTCCTATTTTGGGCAGTGAACTGCAAGGCAACATGTTTGAAAATGGACAGCATGACTTAAACTTTGTCTTGTTTCTCTTATTTTTCTCCCTCTATTGGGTGCTGCGTCTCCAACCCTTTTTCTGGCTAACTTGCCTGGACTGACTCTTGAATGGCTGCAGTTATAGGTGGGTCCCCCCCCATCTGTGTGGACACATTAAGGAATCATGAAGACGCACTGGGGTGGGACTCTGGTAGAGCCCTTGCCTAGCAGGCGTGACTCTAGGTTCAGGCCCCAGCATAGCATATTGAAGAATAGCAGTGGACTTGGGAACCACAAGCACAAGATACCTCGAGAGACAGCATAACCTGAAAGGTTTTGATTCAAAGTCTGGCTCACTGAAAATCTTACTATTAAAAGAGGTGAGTTGATGAGTTTGGTGACAGTTACATGCTCTCACTGGAGCCCTGGGTCCAGGTAAGTGTGGCACAAAGGGAAAAGAGCCATGTGATCGTTTTAAATGCGTATCTTCTACATAGCACAGAAAACAGTGGACCAGTTGTAATGCATAGCATAAGAACTAAGTTCTCACAAAATAGTCTCTGGCAAAGCACACCTTAAACTGCTAAGACTTGAGTGTTAAGAAAAGGTGAACTTGCTGTTTGATTTCGCCCAATGACAGGTTTACTTCCTGTCACTTTTACATTCACTTGACCAATTGTCCGAAATTTGGCTGCTATTTTCAGAATCCTAATGTACTAAGCTAGTCTAACAATAGATCTGAATACAATTAAAACTAATTTTGAGGATGCTTCCTACTAAGGCTTTTTGGGAAGAACTATTTCCTTTGACATTTTTGAGACAAGGTCTCACTGTGTAGTTGAGCCTGACTTAAACTCACTGGGTAGCTAGAACTTGGCAGTGGTATTCCTGCAGCCTCAAGTACTAAGATTTTAGGTGCATGCTACCATGACCTGCTCCTGTGACTCAAATTCCTGGAGTGGGCAGATGCTGAGTAGCTGCTGTGTAATGTGGAGCTAAATGTTGATGGACCAGAAGGAAAGAGAGATAAATGGGCGTGTACACAAATTGTGTCTCCAGTGTAAAATTAATGAGAACTTGTCTTCAGTACAGTTCATTTTGTTTTTTGAGACAGGGCCTCACTTTGCAGTTTAGTCTGGCTTTGAACTCACTATGTAGCTCAGGCTAGCCTCAAACTCACAGCAGTCCTGCCTCAGCCTCCTGAGTCCTGGGATTATTGGCATGCACCATCACACCTGGCTCATTTTAAACCATTAGAGTATTCAAGTTCAGATTTATACATTCTAGTTTGAAGAGGTAAACATTAATTCATTGAGACCAATATACTGAATTTCTCCAGTCACAAGTTGCTAGGTCCAGATGTGGCTTCATTCTGTACCTCAAGCTACCTGTATTCATGTGAAAAGCAGCAAAACTCTTCAGAGGAAAGTAATTCTTGTGGAATAGTATAGTCTCATGGTGAGCAGTAATCTACCCAATCATAAGAATTGGGAGAATTGGGGTCGGGGAGATGGCTCAGGACAACAAGCACTTGCAAGTGCAAGGGTCTGAGTTCAATCCCCTGTTCTGCCAAAAAAAAAAAAGGGAGGAGGAAGGAAGCCGGTTAAGGGGAACCACTATGCCATGGGGTTGAGCAGCGCCCGTCTTCACAGCAGCCCATCTTGGCTCTTGTCCTGAATCTTAGTCCTGGTCTCTTTCCACAGGATGAATGGTGGGAATTAAATTTTTTTAAAACATGAGAAATCTAAGGGTTGAAAGCTCACAACAAAGATATCATAAAAATGCTGAATAATTCTGAGAAAAACTGATACATGTTTTAGACTGCTGTAACTGGCCTCAGGCAAGCATTGCTTGCCCTGTTGTGGTTTTGCTTTCCATTTGAGGACCACCCTGACCTAAACACCTTGTTAGAAGTGACAAAAATCTCTGCTGTGGCATCTAACATGCCAGATTTTCACTTAAAAATAATTCCTTTGAAAAAAAAAATAATAATTCCTTTGCCATGAGTAGGTATTGGTATTTGGGAAAGAAGTCCAGAGGAAAAGGATAAGAAACTGCTCATCATGTTGCCTGAAGCAGCAATCAGGGAGTCCTCAGCGCTCTGGCAGGGTGAAGCCTTATTCTTCAGCAGCAAAAATGGAACTTGCTGCTGTCACACGTGAGGGGACATTCACCTGAGCCTGGTGTGGAGATGACAAGTTTACCACCCCGGTGACTGTGGAGCCTCACGTTGCCTTCTCCGTGGCAGTCATGGGACTGGAGTGCATTTCTATGATATCATGACAGAGAAGATGAGTCTAGCTAAGAACTCTCTTTTGGCCTTTCTTTAGTGGTATGTTTTGTAAGTTCTTTGCTTTCCAGAGTTTTCTCCTTCGCTGGTGAAAAATGATGATTGATAATAGCAGAACCAGGGTGGAGAATAAGCAACACCCGAAGAATACCAGCGGCTTCTTCTGCAGGAGCAGGGAGCAGATGGCACACTCTCTGATCCCTGGTGCCCCACCGCACTTGGGGTTGCTGTGCTCTGCAGGGAAGCCACCGCTGCTGATCAGTGTGTTATAAAACTTCACCGAAGATTTGGCTTTGAAATCGGATGTGAAGAATCCAAATCTGGGTTTAGATTTTTCTTCAGTCAGTTTGAATGCATAGTAGCCTCTGATTTTGACTTTGTCAATCAGGTATGCTGAAAAACACCAGAAAGTAACATCAGGACTCACAAGTGACCATGAAGTTCCATGGGTAAAAGTTTAGTTTTCAGTGAGTCAAGCTCGAATCCTGCCATTAAAAAAAGGGCAGGGCTCTTACTTAAGGTTTTTATGGCCCGTGGAAAGAGGGTAAATGTGTGTATAGGTTTTATTTATTTATTTGTTTATATTTATTTTGTGGCTGGCTCAGCCCACCCTGGGGGTGGGGCTGGGACAGCTTGTGGTGCCAGAGATCAAACTGCAGTCCCTGTACATTTGCCTAAGCTTGCCTATGCAGGCGCTTTAGACCACTGAGCTATCTTGCCAGCCTGTCTGTATAGGTTTTTTTTTTTTTTTAATTAATTAATTTATTTATTTATTATTTAGTGTGTGTGTGGCCAGCTCAGCCCACCAGGGGACGGGCGGGCTGGCATGTGGTGCTGGGGGATCAAACCGCAGTCCCTGTGCTTTGCTAAGCTTGTTCTAAGTAGGTGCTTTAGACCACTGAGCCATCTCACCAGCCCCCTAGGTTTTAAAAAATGAAATAAATTTTTGATCTATAAGTAATCCAGAAACCCTTGGGGAAAGCAAATTTAAGAGGCAGAGCCCTGAAAGTAAAAGTTATTTGGCACATTTGTGCTGGAGGTCACCAGCTGAAGTCTGGCCTCTATCTTGTGTGGACCTCGAATGAGCCCTGGGTGCTGCCCAGAAGCTGCCTCTGCTTTCTCCTGGTTTCCCCTCCTCTCAGCCAGCCTCATACCCTGCATTCCCCCAGCGTCACCCCTGCACTGAGGGGTGAATTTGCACCTTGGCTTGCTCAGAACGCCTTCCCTTTCTGCAATCCAGCTTCCTTCTGGAGTCCACACCTGCTGTGCCTTACCTCCTGCTTGAGGCCTCCTGCATGCCATCCTCAGCTGCCTTGGGGACAGGGCTCCTTCCCTCTCTCATAAGAGTAGCATAACTTCTGCCATCTTAATAAAAGCAAAACCCTCCCTGCAGCTCATCCCTAGCTAGCCAGCTTTTATAACACCTGTCTCCATTCAGCCTTTTTCACTGTTTTCTCCTCTTTCTGGCCTCTGAATGTGGACATGGCCCAGGGCTTAGCTTTCTCTAAGCTTATAGTCTTAGTTTATCTAGCCTCTTGCTGTAAATATGCGCTTGGGGGGCCAGTGTTATAGCTCAGCAAATTAAGCACCTGCTTGCCAAGCAAAAAGTCCTGAGTTCAGTCCAGTACCCTACCCCCCCCCAAAAAAATGCTTGGGACAAACTTAAGCCTGCATTTTTATGGGGTAAACAAGTAGGGAAGATACAGAATATCAGAGGTAAAAAGTTCTATGGAGAAAAACAGGAAAGAGAATGCAGGGTAGAGAACTGGCCTTGCCAGCCTGGACCACAGAACAAGACCCTGTGTCAAAAACAAAAAACCCCCGCAAGTAAATATAAACAGTGCAATAATTAGGGCTGGGGAGATGGTTCAGTGGCATAAGTGCCTTCCTGATAAACGCAAGGTCCTGAGTTTGAGTTCCGGTACCATAAAAAGCAAATCTTCAGACCAAATAGCCACTGTCTCTTGAAGCTGGAAAGACTGCTTGGTAGTCTAAGCACCTGTCTGGCAAGTGCAAGGACCTGGGTTCAATTCCCAGTACCACATGCCATGCTACCTGCTGGCCACCAAAATTGGGCTTTCCCAGATGAGAGAGGCAAATCCCCACTGGCAAGGGACAAATGCATGTGTACAACAGTCACCTACAGTTGCCCTATTTGGGCCAGTGAGATAGCTTAGTGGACTAAGCTACTGCTTCAGCAAGCAGAGGGACTGGAATTCAATCCCCACCACTGCCACCACCAGCCTGCCATGACCCCACTCCTTCCCCGGTATAAGAGCTGTGGCTGCTCTTCCTTACTCTGGGTACCTCCTTCCCTTCTGCCTATATGTGTTTTGGGAGGTGCCTGGATGTGTGTGGCTGAGAGGAGGATCACAATGAAATGAAGGCCAGTGTGGGCTACATTGTGAGTTCATGACCAACTTGAACTACACAGAGAAACCCTGTCTCAAAACCCTCAACTTTAGGGGCTGGGGAGATGGCTCAGTGGAATAAGCGCTTCCCTAGCAAGCACAAGGGTCTGAGTTCAATCCCCGGTTCCACCAAAGAAAAAAAACCCCCTCAACTTTAGGTATTAGGTATTGTGTCTCATCAACAATAAAACAGCTGAGACCTCTTATTTCTTTGACTTTTTTTTTTTTTCCAATACTCAGGGCTCAACCCAGGGCCTTTGCACTGAGCTACATCCCAAGGTGCTCCCCCATTAAATTTTGATACAGGTCAGGCCTGGTGGGGAATACCTGTAATCCCTGTACTTGGGAGCCTGAAGCAGGATTAACATGAGTTCAAGCCTGAACGACATAGTGAGACCCTGCCTCAAAACACAAAAGTAAATAAATAAAAATAACTTTTGACATTGAGTGCTGCTAAGTCAGTAAATTGCCCAGACAGGGCCTAAATTTGAGAATTCTGCTCCTCAGCTTGCCAGAGTGCTGAAATTATAGACAAGCACCACACACCCACTCGTTTGTGGATTCTTACCTCACAGAACAATGGTTCCTTGAGGACAGTGATCATGATTTTACTTACTGGTGTTAAGTGCCCTATGTTAAGTTTTAGCCTATATTAGGTGCTCAATATTTGTTCAGCAAATGCATATATTTCTGGGGTATTTTTGCTACTTCAATTTTATTGTGATCTTTTAAACTGGGCATGGTGGCACACTCGTGTAATCCCAGCACTTGACAGGCTGAGGCACAAGGATCACTGCAAGATTGAGGCCTTCCTGGACTACACAGTTCAAAGCCAGTCTGAGTAACATAGCGAGTCCAGGTCTCAAAAAAAAAAAAAAAAAAACCAACAAGGGGGTCAGGGGAATAGCTCAGTGGAATAAGTGCTTGCTTGGCAAGCACAAGATCCTAAATTTGATCCCTGGTACCATAAAAACATACACACCCCAAATAAATAAAGCAGCCCTGAACTGCATTGTGAGACTCTGTCTCAAAAAGACAAATAAACTAGCATAAGATTTTAAACTGGGCATAGTGGTGCATGCCTGTAATCCCTGCACTTGGGAGGCTGAGGCAGATTTGTGGAGAGTTTGAGGCCAGCCTTGGAGCACAGTGAATTCAAGACCAGCCTAAACTACAAACAACCAACCAAACAAAACAACAAGTAGCTATAAGCCTTTATGTTGGGAACAGTATGTGAGATCAGCAGTCTGATCCACTGCTTTTGAAAACATTTGACTCCAAAATTATGTAATGGGCAATTCATCTGAATGGTGGTGATTGGAAATGAAGACAATCTATACCAATAAAAGAAAAAACCCTACATATCAAACACTAGACACCTACTTTGGGGGAAAATAAAACCCTAAATATCACACATTGGAGAAAAGGTTAGGTATGTGAAGATACGTTCATAAAGAATGTAGCATTTGGGGCCAGCGAGGTGGTTCAGTAGGATAAGCTTTTGACTGAACGCAAGGATCTGAGTTCAATCCCCGGTTCCGCCAAAAAAAAGAATGTGGCATTAGGCAATCATGAACAAAAAATTTATGAGTTTATTTTTAAGACACGGACCACTTATTTATTTATGTATTTGGTACAGGGTCTCACTATGCAGCCGAGACTTGTAGTGATACTCCTATTTTCAGCCTCCCTAGTGCTAGGATTACAGGCCTCATGCCTCCTCTCAGTGGCAGCTCACCATGGCTGAGGCGGGGCCAGAGTGGAGCCCTAACCTTGTCCCTGGCTTGCCTAAGCAGGCACTTAGTCTGCTGAGCTTTGGGCCACTGATTGATTGGTTGATTGATTGCAGTGCCAGAGATTGAACTCAGGACCTTGTGCTTGCCAGGCAAGTACTTATTCTACTAGTTATGTCCCCGGCCCGTGGACCATTTATTTATAATGTGATTTTAAGGACAAAGTTTCTTGTTCAGTGGGAGAGTGCTTATCTATGGTGTCATAGCATGCATGAGGTCCTGGGTTTGATCAACAACACGAGAGAGAAGTTGAAGCTGAGGGTGGGGGATATAGGTCTGGGGTAGAGTAGTACGGGGGGGGGGGGTAAATGTTGGATACAAAACTCTGGGTTTTTTTTGAGACAGGTTAAGTATTAAAAATACACAGGTTTGGGAGGCTGAGGCAGGATGATCTGTAGGAATTACAAGCCATCCTGGACTACATAGTGAGTTCAAGGCCAGCCTGCAAGACATAGTGAGAGCCTGTCTCAAAAATGAAAATAAAACAAAAAATAATGTATCTAGCAGCTGGAAAGAAGTAATCCAAAATATGGGCAGTGTTTGTCTTGGGGGATGAATTTTCAAATGATTTGTAGAAAAATATGCCAAATTTTCCATAATGAGCTTGTTACTTTTTTTTTTTTAAATGCCTTTTTGAGACAGTGTCTTACTATGCAGTTCAGGCTGGCCTTGAGCTCACTTTGTAGTCCAGGCTGGTCTCTAACTCCTAAGGATCCTCCTGCCTCAGCCTCACCAGTGCCGGAATTATGCCCCGCTCCTAGCTTGTTACTCTAAAATTAAAATAACTTGGGTGCTACAAGTCTGACACAGTGACCACTAGGCCTTTCACCCCGTTGTGTCCTGGTCCCCACCCACCGTAGTGAGGAGGGCCCAGCCTCACCTTTCAGAGCCTCCTGGACATACTTCTCTAGGTAATACTTGCGGAGCCAGTCGTTCTCACGTGCCTGGTCGTCAATGCCGCTGGCCGTGATATAGATGTCCACATCGCCATAGTGGCCGCGGATCCAGCGCAGCAGCTTGCGCGCGCCCCAGGGCAGCACAGCCAGGCGCGTGGGCGAGCTGAGGCGGGTGATGTCCTGCAGGAACTGCACATCGCGGTCCGCGTCGTAGCTGCTGCCCGCCTGCGGCTCGTGCATCACAAACCTGGTGGTGAAGTGGTTCAGGGCACAGAAGTCGGCGGCGCCCCTGACCAGCCTGCGCTCAGCCTCGGTGAAGCGGGGCAGCGCGGAGCCCATCAGCCCGCGCCGGCCCCGGGAGGCCAGGTGCTCCCGCATGGCCCTCGGGTAGTCCCCCGTGCCGAAGAGCGGTTCAGCGAACCAGGCGATCTCGAACTGTAGGAAGCGCTCGGCCGCCTTCCAGTGCGAGTCCACGAAGGGGTTGGCGGGTTCGGCCCAGTCCGCGTGCAGGGCCAAGGACACCGCCCCGTGCTGCGCTGCCCGGTGGCGCCGGTCGTAGAGGCGCCAGGCCTGCGCGTGGGCCAGCAGCAGGTGGTGCGCCGCCCGGTAGGTGTCGTTCCCCGTGCGGTTGTAGGTGTCGCTCAGTCGGTTGGGCTCATTGATGGTGATCCAGAGCCGCACCAAGTCCCCCAACTCCCGGAAGCACAGCCCTGCATAGTCCTGGAAGGCCTGCACTGTGGCCAGGTTGAGCCAGCCCCCGCTGCGCAGCAGGGGCCCGGGGAGGCCCGGGTGGGCGTGCGTCGGGTGGTACAGAGTGACCATCGCCGAGATGTTGAGCTTCAGACCCTCACTGACCACACATCTATAGTACCGCAGAACCTGGCGGTTCACGGAGGTCAGGTTGCCGCTGGGGAGGACAGAGGCCCAGTCCAGAGCGAACCGGAAGTGGGTGACTTTCATTCTAGCCAGCATCTCCAGTTGCTTTTTGATGCTGAGGAAATCTGTGCACTGGGCCTTGCGTGTTTTCAGCTTTACCCCATTGACGCGGTGCAGCCGTCTGTTGCCTGTGGCATTCCACACGTACAGGCCAGGGTCGGTGAACTGTGGGGAGGAGGCCATCAGCTCGGGCTGCGGAAAGAACCACACTTGGATGAAGCTTGTACTGGCTGTGACCCCCAGGGTAGGGCTTGGGATGGGCTCAGCTTGCATTCTTGGAGAGAAAGGCCCTGCCTCGGGAGACAGAAAATAAATGATGCACACATCCTTTCTGATGATGTGTGTGTTCCAGCTGCCTACCTGCACAATCACCCTCCTTGGAAGCCCTCAGAATCTCCAGGGAGACCAGAAACAGGGAAGGGACCACATCCAGGCCTTGGCTTGGAAAACAAGAAAAGGCTGAGAAGGCATTTTCTAGCTCATTTGAACTTTGATCCCAAGTTATATGGTGGGGTCGCTGTGATTCTGTTCAAATGCATCCGGAAATTGGCTGGTACCCTCAGTTTAAAGCAATCATAAAAGATGCATTTTTAAGCTCTGTCATAAAGTGAAGGCAAAGGTAAAATTGGAGGAGGTCCCCGAGGTCAGCACTTGGGGCTACAACAGGCAGCGACAGTTCCTACAAGAGGTTGGTTGGTGGGATGGAGGTGGGCTGAGGCTGCTTGCATTTGCTAAAAAAATGCAACTTTCAGCTCCTCTTATTTCAAAAGTCCAATTAAGGTCACATTTGCCTCTAGTATATCCTGTCCCAGGAGAACATAGCATTTGCTTGCCCAACAGAGGGTACTGAATGTTATCTCTACCCAAGGACAATAAGATACCCCTCGAAACCCTGAGGTTAACACTAAAGCCCTAGACTCCTATGGTGGTTACCTTTGGGCAAGGCCACTGTATAGTTCTGAGCTGTCTTACCTACCTTCCTGGTGTGCTGAACCCTGGTAACTAAAGCATCATATAAACACAAGGTAGTCATGACTTGGGTTTGGTTTTCCTTGGGTGAAATTAATAGCCTGTTAAGCCCTTGAGTCTAAACCCAAACACGAGCTTAAGAAAAATATTTCCCAATTCAAGATTAATAAGGACAAGCAAATAGTTCTCTTCTTATTTTAAAATACTGTTTCTCTTCATGACTGAATTTAAATACACCAGGCAAAATGATAATTAACCTTTGGTAAATCTTTTCCCTCTAATTGTTTTCTCATGTGTCATTTTTCATAGCCTAATTGCAAAACCATATTACTGCCCGCTTGCCATCTGCCAGCTGGTTATCTAGGACATTAAACTGAGAGAACATTGATCATGTGAGCATAAAGTTAAATCTGGATATAATTAATTGTTTGAGTAAAATCTTCCTGGCTGATATTACAGTGTTTTAAAAACCTCACATCAGCATGGTATTGAAAAGGATATTTACAAAAAGCAATCTTGGGGCTGGGGAGACAGCTCAGTGGAATAAGCGCTTCCCTGGCAAGCACAAGGGCCTGAGTTCAATCCCCAGTTCCGCAAAAAAAAAAAAAAAAAAAAAAAAAGAAAAACTTATTAAATAATCAGACAAATCAAAATCAACTTTCTTTGTTTTTTTTTTTTTTTTTTTTTTTTTGTCTTTTTGAGACAGGGTCTCAAAACTGCTATGCAGTTCAGGTTGGTCTTGAGCTCACTTTGTAGCCCAGGTTAGTCTCGAACTCTCAATGATCCTCCTGCCTCAGCCTTTCCAGTACAAATCTTTTTATGTTTTTGTGGGTGTTTTTGTTTTTGTTTTGGTACTGGGACTCAAACTTAGAATCTCACACTTGCCAGGCAGGCACTGTGCTGCTGAGCTATATCCCTGGCCCTGTATTGTGTTTTTGAGACTGGGTCTCACTATGTCATTCAGACTGGCCTTGAACTCACTAAGTAGCCCAGGATGGCCTAAATTTGTGGTGCTCCTCCTGCCTCAGCTTGATTATAGGCCTGTGCCTACATGCCTGGCTGGCTTTTCAAAGAGCAATCTACTATCTTCTGGCAAATCCTTCATCCCCATTCTTAGTCTAAGTGGCTCAACAGAGGCTGACTCCTTGCCAGGCCCATCAGTATGCATGAACCCGCAGCCCAGGAGGCAACCTCTTCAACACCATGCATGCATTCTGGCCCACCTCAGCATCTCAGCCAGCACGATCTCCCTCCCCCCCCACCTTCCCTCACAGCCTCGGAATGCATGGTTATCGACATCCCTTAGCTGTCACCTTGTAAATGTCACAGAACAGCCAGCATCTCCCTGACAATGGTTAATTCCCATAAGTAGCCACTTACCTTAAGAACAGACTCAGTGACGCCCCAGGAGAAGTCGCAGGGAAACCGACCCTGCATCTTGGGTGTAGATTCTTTTAAAGGAAAACCATTTTCTTGTATGATTTGTTTATAGTAATGTGCTGAGGACTTGGGTTTCCTGTCTTTCTGTTTACTATTGAAATCCACATAGAACAGCCCGCGGCGGGTGGTGTAAGCATCCTGCCACTCAAAGCCATCCAGGAGAGACCAGGCGGTATAACCGAACACTTGAACTCCATCAGACCGTATGGCTGTGGAAAGAAGAAAGCAGATACACTTGAAGGGCTGAGCATGCTTGCCACTTCTATGATATGCCAGGGGACAACGGACTGGAAAACCAACCCTTTTCTTACTTTGCAGGACTCTTAGGTTGACCCCTCAAAAATGCTAGCTTTGGGGCCAGGGAGATGTCTGAATAGAATAA